CAAGAGAAAGGGAAGTAACGTCGTGATCGCTGCGGGGTGTGGGCTCAGCGCTCTCAGCACACTGCGCTGTTGTGCAGTCTTCAGCGCCCCCTGTTTTGAGAACTCTTTTGTCTTGTGAAACTGAAACTGCCATCGACCAGGACCAGGACTCCTCATCTCCGCTTCCTCCGCCCTTCAGCCTCGGCCGCCCAGGTGCTTCTTGCTTCTTCCTCTGTGACGCTGGTCGCTCTGGTCGCCTTGCGTGAGTGCGGTCACACGCCCTCACCCGGCCTGGTCCCGGGACGTCTGCAGGGTTGTCTGTGTTGTTGAGAGCACCGGGATTTCCTGCCTTTTACAGGCTGAGTGGCGCTCCACTGTGTGTATGTAACGTATACACACCGCGCCTCGGTCCTCCTTCCTGTCCGGACCGGACCGCAGGGGTCACTTTCCCCGTTGTGCCCGACGCTGCCGTGAGCCTCAGTGTGCCGCCGAGCGCCTGCATCCCCCTGCTGGGCATGTTCCTGGCCGCGGGCTGGCAGGGCCACACGCGGTCCTGTGCCTGGTTCTAGTGGGGATGGCCTGGCCCTTTGCTGCCCGAGAGCGAGCACCGAGTTCCCTTCCTGCCCACGGCGCGCACGGTCCCTCCTCGCACTCGGCATCACTTAGCGTTGTTTTCGCAGCCGTCCTCGTACGAGCGACAGGACACCTCACAGCTCCGTTTGGCCTACTCACGTCCTACTTTCTCTGCTTCTCTGGGGCCTTCCTCTGACTCAGTCAGACATATGTTGTTGTATCTTTCTCCCCTCTGCTAACTTACTCATGACACATTCATTTTTACTGTGGTACTGTGGTACCTCACGGACAGTTGTTGGTGTGCAAAATGACACAGTAATTAATAATAACAAGCTGTCTTGCAGCCTCAGGACCGTAACCTGCCTTTGCCCCACCCGTGTTTGTTGGCACCAAGTGCGTGTACACTGCCCACTGTTGACTGCTCTCGCTCACTGGGGAGGTTCGTCTGGACGTGGCGGCAGGTGGCCGTGTGCCCCATGCAGTTTAACTCCATGTGGGTTTCTCCCCTAAGATTTATTTATTTTAGAGAGGGGGGAAGGGAGGGGGAAAGAGAGGGAGAGGCACATACATGTGTGGTTGCCTCTCACACGCCCCCTACTGGGGACCTGGCTGGCAGCCCAGGCATGTGCCCTGACTGGGAATCGAACCGACCACACTTTGGTTCAAAGGCCGACCACACTTTGGTTCAAAGGCCGGCACTCAGTCCACTGAGTCACACCAGCCGGGGCTAATTCTGTGTGTTTTAAATACTACAATATTTTCTTAAATATTGTCTTGTGGGATCAACATAGATTTATCTTTACCTTTTTAAAAACACATGTACAGTTGCCCTTTAGTTCTTTTTGTATTTATATTGTTCTCAGTAATCACTGTAGTACTTCTTTTCTCCCCCAGCCGTCTTCAGACGTAATTGACGCGCACCGCTGTCTAAGTCGAAGGCGGGCACCCGGCCGTGCGGCCCGTGGGTGCGTGTGGCCCATGGGTGCGCGTGGCCCGTGGGTGCGTGTGGCCGTGACCACCCAGCGTCGACCAGCGCCTCTGCTGGGCCAGAGTCCTCCTCCTCTGCGAAAGTTCCCACTTCACCTTCCTGATGGAGCGCCCATGTGCTCCATACGCAGTTTTGGATTTTCAGTTCCTCTCCTCAGCACTTGAAGGCTTTATCCTGTTTTCCCCTTTCCGTGACTCCGGGTTGGCGTCAGCCCTGGCTCTGACCCCTGCTGCCTCTCTGAAGGTGCGGTCTGCCCTGCGCCCACCCTGTGGCGCCCACCACGTCCCTTCTCTGTGGTGTGTGTCATGTGGCTGTGTGTGCCTGGCGCACTCTGTGTTTAGTCTTTAGTGGATTTTTTAAAAATCTTCGCAGGCCTGCTGGACAGCCCGTGGCTTGTGTGGGAAGGGGCTGGTCAGCGTGTTAGGGGCTCTGTGGCCAGTGTCCCTGCACTGGGCCTGGGTGCGCATGTTGCCCCCTGGTGACCGCCACCCAGTGGCGAGGCAGAGGGAGACCTGGATGCTGGAACTCCCACCTCCTTCCCACAGAACGGGTTTCTGACCTGGCAGCGCGGGCATTTCTGCTTCTGCGCCCCACGGGCGTCCCGACATGAGTGCCGATTGGGTGTCCCTGCAGTGTAGTGAAGGAGTGCGCGCGCGTTCCCTGGGTGCTGACGTCATGGGGAGTGGCTGTCTTGCGGGTGCCCGTCATATGGCCCTGGCCCTCTTCCTTGTCCAGTTAGGAGTTAGGAGCAGAGCCCTTGTGCCCATGCCCGTGGGGGCAGCGTCGGGTCATCAAGCCTGCCCGGCGCCCGGCTGACCACCGCTGGTTGGTGAGGAATGTCACAGAGAGCAGTGTCTGGGGGCGTGGGGGCCAGCTCACAGCATTGGTCTGCACTGCGCCCCAGCGCCTGCGGCTCCTGAGTGCGTCTTCCCGGCTGCAGGTGCGGCTCTAGGTCCCTCCTTTCGGCTGTCCAGGCCTGCTCGCCAACTCTTTCTGTGGGGCCCAGTCAGTGAGATCTTTTCTTCAGGAGCAGCGACGGATGTTTTGGCAAATTGAACTTAAAAAGCTAAAATTGGTCCTCGATAGCCACCTTACTTCAACAACAACAACAAAGGTTTTGTGAAGGCCCAGAAAGCCACAAGGGTTTCGTGTTGTTTTGGATTGTCTTTCAAGAGTTGCTGTAACAGACCCAGGCTCAGTATCTCATGGTTGCTTTATTTATTTAATAGTTAAAGGGATTAACCTGAGTTCATTTTTGAAGCACATGTGGTTATTTGGAACTATTTCACTTAACAGAAAATACAAGATAGTTCTTTTTAACCCAGGTAGATTCAAGTTTGAATTATAAAATTTTCTTCCTTTTAAAATTTTCCTTCATAGCTAAATTGTAGAAATTTACTGAATTTTAAAAGTCACCTGCTGCCCAGAGAAGAGAACTGCCCCCCCCCCCCCAAACGCAGCTGCTGGGCCGGTGTTTCGGGGAGGCGGGGCCTCTGAGTCTGTGAGCAGGGAGCCGCAGGCCTCCCTCCGGGGGCCTCTGCGCCCACCGCTCCCGTGTTTCCGCGGGTCTCCGCACATCTTCCTTGTGTCTGGGCGGTGCCGCGGTGGCTGCGGGCCAGCCCTGCCTGTCGCTGATGTGGCTGCAGTGTCGGACGGTGGTTTGGCCGTGAGCGCTTGCCTTGTGGGCTCAGGAGCAGATTTTGGTTGTTGTTTATTTACCCTTGAAACCTGTTCCTGGGACTCTGTTTTAGGAAGGAGAAGGGCTGGGGCAGGGCACGTTGGCGGGGGAGGGGGAGTAGCCACAACCAAGCAGGGAGCAGGCAGGGTGGGGGGTGATGGCGGGACTCTCCCAGGACTTGGTTCTTAACCATGAAACGCATGCGTGCCAGATTTGCATATTTACTAATTAAAAAGGCTTCCTGGAAACATTAAGTAGACGATCTTCTGTAACCTTTAGCACTGTCACTAATGGATATTGCATAGAAAATCTCATCGAAGGTCCTTTAAATAATGTACCTGATTAGGGATATGTAACTAGTTAATATGCAGCTGCGGCGGGATGACGGTGCAGAGGTTAATGAACACCCTGCTCGGGCGCGGGGCCCTCCCGCCTGCGGCGCAGACGCAGGGACTGCAGGGTCTCTTCTCGGGGTCTCCTCTGGTGTGGGAGCTCTCCGAGAGGGTCTCGTGTCAGCGTCCTTTTCAGTTGGCATTCAGTTCTGCTTGTGTGCGTTATGATGTTCGCCAAATCGGAAGCGGCCGGCGGCTTGGTGCCGCGTTGGGCGCTGGTCCAGACGCAGTGCTGAGTGCGGCCCTGCGCGTGGGCTGACCGGGAGGGCTTCCCCTGGAAGCGTGTGGAAGGCTGGGTGCTGGGCCCGGCACATGTTTGGGTCCAGGCTGCTCGCTGCCTTGGCCTTGAAGAGCTCTCAGAAGAGGACGTTCGTTCCAGGGGTTAAATGCTGTGATGGGCCGTCATCGGACGGCCCCACCCCATGCTGCGGTTTCTGGGGAGTGCGTGCGCGTGCTCGCGGGGGTGGGGTCAGAGTCCAGGACGCGGCCTGCGCGCCATGTGCCTCCCACCAGGCAGCCTTCATTCCTCAGTGTCTCTGTCTGTGAAATGCTGCTGCTGCCGTGTTTGAGGCAACTGTTCAAAACTCCCACCAGTGGACTGCTTAGAAACAGACGATTAATAATCTTTGAAAACAGCGCTACTTTTAAATTGCTGTTTGTTTTCCCCCTTACTGGTTAGTGTTCTTGTTTTCTGAGCATTTTTAGAATCTACTGAAATACCTCTAAGGGAAACATAACTTTTATATTTAATTTTATTGTTTTAGTATTATAAACATAGCTTCAGCTGGCTAGGAAGTGCTTAAAATTCCATCATAATTCACCAGGGGAACAAGTGGGCCGTTCAGAGCACCTCTTTATCCCAAGTGCTTCTTTTTGAAAATGTAGTAGAAAAATATCACCGAACTCATTTTTAATGCGTCAGGATAAAAATTACAGGTAAAAACATTTGGAGATACACTGACAATATAAAGTATTTTCACTGCTGTCGTTTCTTTTTTTCACTGATGAAACATGGATGTTATGTTGGCTGTTCTGTTATTTATAACATTTGTGTATTCTACAAAATATGTAACATTGGAAACAGGTCTGTAGATTGTACAGAGTACTGGTTATCTCCTATCACGTGTCATCTAATGGCTCTGCAGCGGGTTTTGGAGCGAGGAGGAGTCGGAAGGTGTCATTTGTCCCGCACTTATCAGCCCACGTTAGAGGGTGGTGATAAAGTTGCTGCTCAGAGCCTCACTCTCACGTCGCCGTGCCTTTGACAAGTAAAAATGGAGACCAAGAAGCCGTGAAATCTGTAAAGCCGCGCTCTGGCTCACTGCGGCGCTGACCTCGTGTCTTCGTGCAAGCCCCCATTTTCACGACCGGTTGTCTGTTTCCACGACAGGTGGTCGCGAGCTGCCGAGAGAGCGTCCAGCACTGGTGAGTGAAGGACGGCCCGTCGTGCGCTGAGACGCTGACGGTCCCGTTTGTATTTAATGCAGCACTGTCTTTTTGTTAACCCGTAATTGAGGCCTTCCAGCACTCTCCATTTGTAATGCTTCTGCCCGCAACTTGTGTTGTCTTGCACCGCTTTGTTTATTCTAATTGCCTCCTCTTTCTTTCTCTTTTTTTAAAGTAAGAAGAATACAGTTAGGAAGTGGGACAGACGTTTTTGAACTAGAGTAATGGTTTCTCTGTTTGGAAGTATTTCTTGTATTTATATTAGAGTAATAATTGGAATCGGCTGTTTTAAAATGAGGGTGGAAACATGCGCATTCTCCTCAAGTTTGAAGAGCCGGCTAATTCCCCGCATCTCCCGCTGGCTGTGCTGACGGCGCTCATCTCCGTGCGGCATCCACAGCCTCTGGGACAGGCCCCTGAATAGCACAGCCTGCTCTGTCCCCGGGGACAGAGACGCTCAGCTCGGTGGGACTGGAATCTTGCCGGTGGGCGGGTCGTCCTGAGGTCCAGCTGCTGACCCACCCGCAGGAGACCCGCAGGACACCCCCGCGGTGCCTGCTGACTGTCCCACGGTCTGCTGATGGCTCTTCGGTGCTGAGATTAAACCTCTGCTTAGACACCAGCCAGCATATAACACTTTAAATTTATTTTAAGAGGCTTTGTCTTCATGCCTGAGAGACTTCCAAGGGAATAATTTATAGTTAGTGCACATCAGACGTGTCCTGGTTCCAGCGCCCACGGGCCGCAGGCAGGGGAAGAGGGTCCGGCGCAGGCGGTGCTCAGGCCGCCCTGCCAGCACCGCGCGGGGCCGCCAGGCAGCCTTCTGTAGGGACTGTCTGCTCTCGTGCGACACTGTCTGGGGTTAACCCTGGTCCTCCGCCAGAGAATGAAGTCCGCCCCCCCTAGCCCCGCCTGGCTAATTTGGTCAGAGTGAACCATTTGACAAATGATTCTTAGAGGAAATTTTATTAATGTTGGCTTTTCTCTCTATTAGTTTTGGTAAGAAATTCAAGAAATCAGCAAAATGTTGAATTCAATGAGAACAGACACTAGTTTACACCAGTGTGTGAGTGGCAACTCGCTTCTGGTTTATCGCTCAGACTCTGTCCCCCTGGGCCTCCTCGCTGCCCCGCACTACCGCCTGCACTGGCACAGCAGGACCGGTGCAGTCTGAGTAGGAGCAGGCTGCAGCGCAGCGCCCACCCGTGGAGCATCGTGGCTCCTGGACGCTGCAGGGGTGCCTTGCCAGGCCAGCACGGGCAGCCCCCCCTCGACCCCGTCTCCGGTCCGGTTTTCCACTGCACTCCACGCTGGAGAGGCTCAGCGCACGTGCTTCTACAGATCTGTGCATTAAGCAACCAAAGTAACGTTTTCCAGTGAAGATTTGCCTTTCCCTCGGAATTATTCCTAGTATGGCTCGGGAAACAGACTTTCCCGTCTGCTTTCTAAGGAGGCGTTGACAGTGCTGGAATCTGCGTGCCCAGGGAGCCCGCTGACCTACTGTGTGAGAGGCTTGGAGCCAGGTGTCCGGGAGCGCCGCTAGACCCCTGACGCTGTCCCTCCCAGTGCCCCAGACAGTGGCCACTCGCTCCCTTATTGCCCCCATGTCGCAGGGGAGGGGGGAGGCCTGCCCCGGAGGACCCCGCTGAGGCCTGCTTCCCAGCTCCTCCTCTGTCTCAGGAGGGGAGGCTGGTGGCCGGTGCGATTTACCACCGGGATATTTGTAGGATGAGTAACGTATACGTGGAAGTCAGACTAAGGAAGATAATTTTTATTAATTACGCTACGGTAGCTTTAGGGGAGCTGAGGAGTAAACGGAAGCCAGCCCCGAGTTTGGAGAGCAGTCATTTTCATCATCCGGAGAGCAATTATCCACGTTGCAATTCGTCCTAATTTCAGTTTGACACTATCTACATGTTCTTTAAAATGACTTGCTGAATTGGTGGGTTTTTGTTATTTTAAAAACCTGACAGAATTCTGCTTTAAAAAATTGTGCCCTGGCTTTGCTCAGAGCAGACACTGATCTCTGGAGAAGGCCGGCAGGCGCCGGGCTCTGGGCTGTTCCCCAGCGGGTGTGAGATCTGAGCAGGGCCCAGCGCAGGGACGGGGGTCCAGGGCCACCTCCGCTCCTGCGGCGCCACACCATTGGGCTGTTGGAAATGAATTCATCAGGCAGCTCCGTTTGTGTGACCCGAGGCAGATCCAGAGCTAAATCCAAGCGCCTCTCCTACGATTTCCTCCTAGCCTCTGGGGGGGGCCCTCGCCCTGACCACACAGGGAGGAACCCAGAAGGGTTGGCGGGGCCCCCGTTTCAGCCCTGGGGTTCGGAGGACTGGGGCGTGGGACCTGGCACTGTGTTGGTTTCCGTGCTGCAGCCGTGTGGGCTGCCCGGGCAGCTGGGTCCGCCCCCCCCCCCCCCCCCCCCCGCACACGAGCCCTGTCTGCCTGGGCTCCTGCTTCCCGGAGCCACGGGACCGTCTGCCTCGGGGGTGGGATCCTGAGGGCGAGAGGGCGCTTCTAGAAGGCAGGGGCCCCGCTTGACCTCATTCTTTGAACTTGGTCAAGAGAGGATTTTTACATGACAGCAGACTTTAGTCTTTAAATTGCTCAAATCAGGGTTTCCATTGTCGTGTACGATGACACGCAGCTTGAGGGACTGCTCTGTGTCACCGTGTGTCTGGTGTTCTTTGTCGACAGGAAGAAGGTGGACGACGACTACTGTGCCCTGCAGGAGAGACTCGGCACGCTGCCCGATAAGCTGTCCTACAACGTCATGGTGCGTTTGCGGTGCAGGCGCTGGCCGAGGGGTGGCCGCCGCTGCTCTCCCCGAGTGCGCGGGGCGGGCCCACCTGGCAGGGCGGGGTGGGTGGTTTGACTGCTGAACAACGCACCAGTCGTGGTAACAGGTGGTGCTTACCTCTCTTTACTTTCTTCCCAGACTGACACTAAATTATCACCACACTACGGTGACATACGTGGCACCAATGTTAGCATGGAATTTGACATGTTTGGTGTGCAGACCCCTGTGTAAAACCTGTCATTATGGCAGCGGTGAGGCACGGAGCGGCCCCCCGTTAGGGCAGGAGGGCTCGGCGAGGTGGAGCCCGCGGGGCACGGCCCTAGAGCGCTGGTGTCGTGTGCGCGGTGCCACTGAGTATGGCGCGGATGCCCTCCTGTCCACACAGTCGTCTGTCCCTGAGCCCTGGGGCGGCTTGCCCCTCGCAGGAGTGTTCTTTCTCACGGGGACTGTGGCCTGAGCAACCCCAGCCCACGCACCAGCGAGTGTGGTGTCATCTGTTGTCTTGGCCAGGACACATTGTAAATTTTGTGGGCTCATTAAAGCTATGTGCGTATTCACTCCTGGGAGTACAGGATGATAGCAAACAGCTGAGATCTCTAAAGCTGCAGAAAGAAATGGCTGTTTTGTTGGGAATTCTGTTTTTAAAAAACTCAAAGGCATTTATAACTTGATGTTTCCTTGCACTTTTGCTTCCACCTGAGTTCAGGAAGGAGCCGAGAGGGTGGACATTCGGAGACAGCTGTGTGGACGCGGCCACTCTGCCCCCGGCCTGGCCGACTGCCCTACAGTGGTTTTCCACGGGTTTTCCTAGGAGGCTTCAGTGCAAAGTTGAACTTCTGTGGGGCTGATGTTTTATTTTTCTTAGTGTGGAGATGAAAAAGGCCTCAGTGAGAGCTTCTGATGCCGAGTGTTCCATAAACAATGCATTTTTAGTGTATTTCCTTCTTTTCAATAGGTACCGTTTGGCCCCTTTGCCTTCATGCCAGGAAAACTTGTCCACACTAACGAAGTCACCGTTTTGCTTGGGGACAACTGGTTCGCAAAGTGTTCAGCAAAGCAGGCCGTGGGCCTAGTCGAGCATCGGAAAGCACGTAGGTACCGCCACGAGGGTGTGTGTTGCTGGGGGTCTGCGGAGCCAGGCGCCGAGTGGGGGCTGTTGTGACTGAAAGCCCCTCCGCCACCTGGCGGTCCCGGCCGTTGGCGATTGGGTCCCTGTGGGCCATGGGGGAAGGGCTGGCCAACCGCACCCCCGGGGCACACTAGCGCCTGTCTTAGAGTGTCTTTGGAAATGACGATGTGTGAATGTCACCCCCAAGTGGCTTTGTGGGTGGACTGGGGAAGCTGTAGGAACGGGTCGTCTTGGGCTCTGTGACTGGGGCGCTGGGGCTGCCTGTGCCGAGGGGAGTAGGTGTGCACAGCGGGGCGGGCTCGCCCCGCACGGACCGAGACTCTGCTCCCAGAGCAGGAGCCGCCTTGGGTAGGTGTTTGGTTTGGGAGACGGGATTCTTTTACTTTTAGGAGGGGCGGCCGGGTGTGGAGAGGGTGGCCTGGGGGGGCACGCGGGTGCTCGGTCGTGGCTTGTGGGCTCATCTGCTGGAGCTGGTGCTTGGGTTGCATTGACCCGTGTGGCACGTCTGTCTGTGTGCACACGTCCACACGCACACGGTTTCTAGTGGTTGGGTGGGTTGGCTTGAGTCCTCGCTTAATTGCATTTAAGAATCAGGTTTATTAATCTGCGTTCTTATTTCTACGTAACATCGCCCCAACCCGCTCCGTGACCTTCTACTGAAATCTGAGGATAGGCCCTTCTGTACAAACGAGGTCAGACGGTAGCAAGCAGCTGAGATCTCTGAAGCTGCAGTTATTTCTCTGGTACACGAGTGGGCACTAGTTAGAGGACTCATGGGCTCAGTGAAATTCTGGGATCTATATTTGGAGACTCTAATTGCAGATCAGCTCTTTGTAAGTTCATAATTGATACACGTTTTGATCTTTGTGGTGCTAATCAGAATCGTACCGTCAGGTCTGTGCGTGGTTCCTGGCTGTGGTGGTTCTTTTGGCATCTCGGCCTCCAAGCCACCGGTGCCTGCGCCTGGGGGGGGGCATAGTTCTCTCCTAAAGGCCTTTTGTGATGGGGGTTTGTCCCCGGGGGTGGGGCTCTGCTGATGGGGAGTCGGGTCACAGTCTGTTCCAGGGTTTTTATTTTGATCTTTGTGTGGATGTGTCTGCAAAGAAACCTTTAGACTCAGTTGTGACCTAATATATTAATGGGAGAATACTTTCAGTAGACTAGAGCTGTGGAGTACAGGAATGTATGTGGGTAAATCACTTTCCGGTGTTAAATATGGTTTTGTGAGTGACCAAGCAGAATGACTTTGGCATCAGTGTTTTTTTTTTTATCTAAGATACTTTTCAGAGTATATGCATAGAAATTGTATTTGAGAACTATAACGATAAGTTAATTGTAAAAAGTTTCATTCGTTCAGCTCTATAATAACTTATAGTAACTGAAGAGAGTGTTCAGGTGTCTTGTAGTTCTTTCTACAGCCCTTTCTTTCGTTTCAAGGGAGGTGTTGCTTTCCTTTGAGTGTCAGGGACTTCTGAGCAGGGGTGCGGTGCGCAGGTGTGGTCAGTGAGGACGGGTCAGGAGGAGGAGGGGTGCGTGCGGGCAGGATGGTGGGGCTGGAGAAGCCGAAGACTCCAAGCCCCCAGTAAAGGTCAGGTCCCCGCGCCCCGAGTGGGCGTGGCTGGGAGCCGAGTTTGTGTGTGGGTGCGTCCTGGGAGGAGGGAGGTGGCTGTGGGCACAGCCCCAGGGCCTGTCCAGGGAGGCTGCTGCGTGCTCTCGAGGGTCTTCAGTGACCAGCAACAGTATCTGGAGCACACTGATACCTTGTTAGTGGCCAGCACTTGCTCTTGTGGTTCATCTGAGTGATAAAACCCCGTGCCCCTCCCGAAAGTGGGCAGTGAAAAGTGGGCAGCAGGCTGGCTTCCGGTGCCGCTGCCTGGAGCGCGCAACTCTCGGTCGGTCCTCTGACCCACCTGCTGCGCCTCTGCGTCCGTGTTTCCCAGGCCGTTCACGTGTCCTCCGTCCTGGTTCTTTTCTGTTCCGTGGACAAGACGTCCTCACCTCACAGCAGAGTCAGTGGGTACGGGGCCGGTTTCCCCGGGTGGACTGGTGCGGACCAGACCCAGTGTCTGGGCAGTGACACTGAGACCGTGGCGGACAGAGCGATGCGGCTCGAGGGGACCTGTCAGCCCTGCCTGCCGTCGTGACGGTCTTCGTGCCCTTCTGCCCTTCCCTGCCCCCAGGCTTGTCACGCTGTCTCACTAAGGTCCTCGTGAAACGCCTGTCCGTGCGCAGATGGCGCTTTGCTCCCCTTCTTGTGTGGCGAGGGTGGGCGTCTGCTGTGGGCTGCGAGGGCCGCCTCCCCGGGCCTGCGCCGTCAGGTGCGTCCACGTGACTTGTGCAGACCCCCGGCCTGCGGTGGCCGCCCTGCGGGGCTCTTCCTCCCTGCCCGTCCCACATCTGCGGCTCTTTCTCTGTCCGTTTCCGGCTTCCTGTGGCGTCTCCTCTCCAGTTTCACTCATTTTGTTGGAGTTAGAGCTTTAGTAACTTTCTGGGAGATACATTTTTTAAAGATTTTGCATGTCTGAAAGTATATTTTATACTCCCACTTTTTGTAAGTAGCCTGTTTGGAATTCCAGGTATTAAACATTTCTTTCTCAGAGCTTTGAAGGTATTCTATTACCATCTGTCGGATGTGTTGCCATTAAAAAGTCAGATGCTGTTATGTTTCCTTTGCATGTGGCTTGTTTTTTCACTCTAGAAGGGTTAGGTTTGTGTCTCTGTTCTCCACGATTGGAAAAGCTGCTGCGGTCAGCACCGCCCGTGGCTCTGCTCACCTGCACTTACCAGGCACTGGGAAGGTCCGTGCAGTGGGCGGCGCCGCGGCCCACAGTTGGGGGAGGTTGGGTGTTATTTCTTTGGTAATTTCTCCTCCTGTCGTCCATCTCTTTGTCTTCATTATAATTTCAGACGTGGTTTCTTTTGTTTTATCTTTAGGATCTGAGATTGGTTTAAAAAATATTTCTGTATGTTTTAATTTCGGGAGCTTTGGCTTTTTTAAATTTGTCTCATTCTTTGAGTGTGCCTTTGGTGTAACACACCGGTCTTGTGGTGTGAATACACTGCCTTTTAAGAGGATTTTATAGTTATTTCTTTCAAAGTGTTCTTTGCGCTGCCTTCTCTCCATCTTCCGTCTTCCCTGCTTCGTACTTGGCTCTGACCCGGGCATGGCAGCGAGGGCCCGCTCACTGCCGGGTGGTCTGAGGCTGGCGTCTGCCCCAAGCGTTGGGCAGCTGCAGGAAGTCCCGTGTGCTGGGCGGTGGCCGACTGGCCGGCGTTCTGGGAGGGTGGAGGTGAGGGGCGGGTTGCTCTTTTCATGAAGGAGCCTGCAGAGACGAGGAGTGGAGGGCCCGTCACTGTGCAGGGAGAGGTTTCCTCACCTCAGTCTAGAGTTTCGGGGTCCGGGCTGGGTGTCCGGGGCCTTAGCACGTGCACCGTGTTCCTGCGGACACTTCCTGTTCTCCCCCTGCCCTCACCCCGGTCTGGCAGGGCACCTCGGCCAGTCAGGGAAGGGCCATCACCCGGCTGAGCTTTGCGAGGTGTGTTGGGGAGTCGGACCGGTCCAGTCGGACTCCGCCCAGATCTGTGTTTTCAGTGCCCCCCTTGGTTCGGAAACCTTCCCAAGGGGGGCCTTCCCAGGTCACCGCCTGCCCTTTCCCAAAACTCAGCTGACTCTCTGGTCTACCTTTCCTTTCTCTTTTCCCGTTGTGTTTGTCCTGATGCCTTTAAATGTTTTCTTTTCCCTCTAAATTATTTGTTCATTTGGGAGAGAGACGGACAGACACGTTGGCTTGTTGTTCCCCTTACTCACACGTCGGTGGTTGGTTCCTGTGTGTGCCCCGACTGGGGGTCGAACATGCGGCCTTGGTACATCCAGGGTAGTGCTCCAACCCACTGAGCCACCTGGCCAGGGGGAAAATGTTTCCTTCGCTGCCATTTTAATGAGGTTTGGGGGCAAAGCGAACGTTAAGGGCGTGCACTCAGACTGTGTTGAAGTGGAAGCACAGATCTGACCCGGCGGAGGGAGGTTCAGTTCAGAGGTGTGTGAACATGTCCAGCAGGGGGCGCGCCCGGTGGACACTGGAAAGGGCGCGGGAGAGAGGAGGGAGGTCGAGGGCCGAGTGGGTGCGGGGCCGGGTGGGGAGGCTGCGCCTGTGGAGGGTGCTCCTGGCACCTGGAAGGCCGTGCGGATGATCACCGCGCCCGGGACTCGTTTCTGTCGGAGATACGCAGCCCCACCAGCTGCCAGCCCGGGGTTTCCGAGTGTCCGGCCCAGTCATTTGTCTCCAGGGGACCGTGGTGGCTGTTCGGAAGCTCCGAGGAGCCCCTGGGCGTCTTTCCCAGTTTCCCCGCGGTCTTCAGAGTGCGGGCCGCGCGTTTGCTCTTCCTCCCTCCTCACAGCAGTGCGAAGGGCTTCCGCTGGTTCCGGGCCCGTGTGTTCTGGGCAGTGAGCGTGTCACGCTCGGTCGGTCGAGCAGACGCACAGCCCGCTTTCGGCAGCTAAGGAGCTGATCAGATCGACTTCCGTCTGCACT